AAAGTACCAAATGATTTCACTCATATGTGGAGTATAAGAACAAAGGAAAACTGAAGGAACAAAACAGCAGCAGAATCACAGAACCCAAGAACGGACTAACAGTTACCAAAGGGAAAGGGACTGGGGAGGGTGGGTGGGAAGGGAGGGATAAGGGCAGGGAAAAAGAAAGAGGGCATTACGATTAGTGTGTATAGTGCGTGGGGGGCACAGGGAGGGCTGGGCAACACAGAGAAGACAAGTAGTGATTTTACAGCATCTTACTACACAGATGGACAGTGACTGTGAAGGGGTATGTGGGGGGGACTTGGTGAAGGGGGGAGCCTAGTAAACATAATGTTCTTCATGTAATTGTAGATTAATGATACAAAATTAAAAAAATAAAAAACAAAATACTTTTCCTGGAAATACAACTTCTAACCACCACAGTGCAAATACTTAATTGTTTAAGATTTAAATTAGTACCTCATTTAATGGACTTGCTGATGTGTGATATTTTATTAAATATATCTCTCTCACCAAAACCTAAGTGGAACACTTTTTGCACATACATGCCTAAAAAGGTTTATTACTTTTAGCAATACCTGGTTGGCTAAGGCTAAAAACTTCTTGTCTTCGTGAAGGAGAATACTGAGAAAGCAACATCAGGTCCTGCAAGGCCAAATACTAAAAGAGAAAAAAGTACAGATAACTTAATTTTTTAACATCCATATAAAATCTTAATCATGACGTGGACTCAGCATTACATACCTAAAATTAGTTGAAACTTTTGGTGAAGGAAATACTTTTCAGAAGCATAACCTTCTTTTCTAGACTTCTAGAACTTTCTCACCTCTATCACCTGTAAGCTACTCCACCTTCTGTTGGTTCCAGCTATAAGAAAATACAGAACTCTCCGTGTTTTTTCCCACTTCTGTGGTGGGCAATGTAAAATATCTCTTCCTCCTGGAACTTCTCTGGCCTCCCCTGTACCAACATACTCACACAGAATCTCAACCACAGCACTTAAACATAATGTATTGTAGTTGCTTGTTCACTTGTCTCATTTGGTTTTAGCCACTAAACTGACACAGGGACAATCTCTGGCTTGCTACTATACCCAAAGGAAGTGCCTACTACACAGCAGACACACAACTTATGTTGTACTTTATTGAAAATCTTTATTTTGTTTCCTGGCAAACCTCTTCATTCAAGACACCATCACTTCTGTGAAGCATTCCTATTTTGGTTCCAAGCAGAGTAAGTGGTATCCACTGCACTTACCACAGTCAAGTTTATTTTGTGTGTCTGCATTTTCCATTAGGTTGTGTGACCTCTTATTCATTATTATACCCTAAGCAACTAATAATAAATGACATTTGAGCAGTAAATAAAGATTTGTTAGAAAACCAAATGAGGTTTTTTTTGTTTATCTAATAAATTAGTCATAGTTGATATTTAAAGATAATGAGATCCTCAGTGGATCACTTTCTTATTAGTTTATAACTTTCCTAGAGTGTAATCCAAACTCTGGGTTCCATTTACTTTCAATTCTTTTTTTCTAAGTACTATGACCTCTTAACAGGATCGCACATACTGTAGATTGCTTTAAAATCTCAAAATGCAATTTAAATCAAAATGATGTGTTTTCACTTAGCTTGATTTGTAAACTTACTGCACATTCTTTAAACTTTTCATTAAAATCTATCTTAGGATCATTATCATTATTATTATTTTAAGAGCATTCAATGAATATGGGCACACTACCAAGCCCTATCATTGATAACAACAGCCACCAATACTACATGAGTAAAAATATGACTTGATCCAATGATTAAAGAAAGTCAATTGTTTTGTTTTGCTACCATAGGGAATCTGTGAAAAACTAATGCGTATGGTTGTATATCATATTTCATGCTTGAACATATTTATTTATCTCTTCTGAATGTAGAAATAGCTTAGCTTATATACATACATTGCCATTATAATTCCATTTTAGTCATTTGGAATGAAAATTGAAAAAGTAACAAACAGCATTCAATGTAGCATGTAGGTGATTTTTACATTCAAGTATTAGAATATTCTAGGCCTCAAAAATTATGTCTCAGTACCAAAAATGCTAAATATTAAGTACATTCCATAAGATAAGACTAGAGATGACTGTGTCAAGATACAAAATGCATACATAGTTCTGGTACCTTTATGATGAGGGGAGGATTGCTGTTTAAAACTTTCGGGAGGCATTCATCAGACTCTCCTGAAAATGGTGGTTGAACAGGGAACAGATGAGCCTATCAAATATAATCAAAGTCTATAAAACTAAAACTGATTATTTTCGTGACATTATTACATTCAGTAAGTTAGCACCAATTGAAATTTATTATAAAAGGAGACAGTTACAACCAAATTAACATCCTACGGTTCCTTGCAAAATTAGGTTGCATCAAAATTACACGTACCCAAAACACTACTTACTAAAATGTTACTCTCCCAATTTTATTAGATCTATGGCTTTCAGTGATAGAAACAAACTTTTGAAAAAAAAATTCTCTGAAGCCACTGAAGGATACAAGGCTACAGAGATGGTAAAATGAAAGAGAAACACTTACTAAGACAAACATGTGGATGATAAAGAATGTAATTCCCATTCATTTAAAATCTTTTTTTCAATATACATTTTAAAACTTCCTTCAAAGAACAAACATTTTATTGCCTTACATTTAAATATTTTAATAATATCTGTATCAATAGCATATAAAATTAATTTAAAATTCAGGCCCATCTGTTAAGTGCTCAATAGAAAAATGGAGACCTTCAGAAAAGAATTACACTGTAGATAAAGCATACTACTAAGCAGTTCATTTAATATAGTGCTCAAAAATTAAGAACACTAACACTGCTCCTCAGAAAAAAGTACAAAGTAAATGATGATTATAAATGATAGATCCTTAATGAAGTCTTAGAAGAGATACCAACAACCAATTTATCAAAATGGTTTTGGGTAAAACAGCACGCTGTCCAGTGCTTTACTAAAAATAAATCTGTGTACTCCAAAATGAAATTATTAACAAAAAACTCAATACTAACCTCTGTGACACTGATTTTGAAGAGAACCCATGAGGTATACCAAGTCATCAGGAGAAAGACACCACATAGCCAGACATGGTAAAGTAATGAGAGATTCAAGAGGCCACTCACAGTGTCAAGAGGCCTGTGAAACTGCCTATGAAAGCAGAAATTACTATTTAATCCAATGTGAAAAATACAATCTAAGCACTTAACAGACATGGGGCCCCATACTGAGAAACAAATCTTACTTCTAAATAATCACAGTGCTAAAGTCCTCTCCTTTTGTACCCTACAGAATTCTTTACTAAGCATCTTCTTACAAAGTACATAAGGGAGCCTTCGGGGAAGAGTAGACCTAAAAACCAGCATTCAATTTCTTGTGCTTCATATCTTCACTGTCATCTACCATGGAGGAAGAATGAGCCAAGCTTATAAACCAACCCCTAGAGGTTGGGTAAAATTTTCTTTTTGTTTTTAACTTTGATACTTAACCATGCAATATGCCTAGCACCTCTCCTGGACCAGATTTCAGCTCTACCTGTATACCCTATCAACAGTTTCACAATACTTAAGAACATATAGTACTATGTACAAATAACAATCTTTACTTTAAAAATAATTTAAGAAACTGTTGGAATGCTAAATAAAGCAGATGGGATCTTACCAAAATCTTGACTAGATCAATGAGCAAAGTCATCATAATCCTACAATCACACAACTAGCAATTATAAAAACAGGATTAGAACCTCTGACTCTACCATTTATGAGTGTTGCGATTATATTAAACACTTGACCTAACCCACCCTCCATTTCCTCATTCATATAATGGCGGCATAATCTTTTCATCCTGCATCTTAGGGCTATTATGCAATTTAAAACATCATGTATTAGGAATGCCTAGCATAGGTTCCCTCCAAATGAAGTTATTTTCAGCTTTTGAGTAAACATTTACCAAGGGCCTGGTATACATTAGAACAGAATATCAGACACTGCAATACAAACATTTTTTAAGTGGAAGGAGAAAAAATGTATTATGTTAAATTTCTATCAAATATCATTATTTCTCTTTCCATCTGACCCGATTTATGAACCAGGCCAATATAATAAATGACCCATGTATTTGGTTTCCTATCTAGCAATTGGGCAGAAGACAAAATTACTTTTTAGCTAGGAACTTGTAGAAGCTACAGATTAAAATCAACACTGTATGTCTCAAACACCCTTAGGCATCAATATTCCGACTTCCCAAAACTGATTATTTGTTAAGTCTGTGTGGGAGTGTCACAGTGGAATAATTAAAAGAATACTAACAAAAAAACTGACATTTATTTGCCAAATATAGATTAAAGCTTTACCTATGTGCAAGTGCATAGGGAGTAACTAGAACAATACACCCTAGTGCTGCCACTCAATCCCCACTTCCTGCAACTGGTCATGTGACTCTGCTCTATTTTGGTTTCCTCACTGGCAAAATTAGAATAATGCCAGAGCACTATACTTGTCTACCACAACATAGCACACAGTGATTACTGAAGAGAAAAACAAAAGAAGTCCCCTCTAATGGAACATAAAAGCTTATTTAACAAAAAAACAAATGATCATTGCTTATTTCTGGGGAGGAACTGGGTGACTAGACGGGCAAAAGGATTATTTTTCAGTGTATCCCCTTTATATACCGTGGGGATTTTAAGTATGTGAGCTATGTATATTCAAAAATGAACATAATTTTTAAAAAATCTAAAGGTTAGATCTAAACAAAACATCTGGAAAGTAGCAAACATCTGAAAGGATGGAAACCAAAAGAATTAAAATTAGACTTTTATATATCACTTACTCATCTATATGAAGGTCCATTGCGGTGCTAATCCAAGTTTTGGGAATATGGCCTAAGAAGGGAAAAAAAGCATGCTATGAACATAAAAAAATTAATAAAACAAGTTTTAATCTTACTTTGGAATATAAGGATAATGAGATGGCCAGGTAGACACCAAGACCTCAGTCAAAATGCCAGATTGTTTGGTTGGAATGGGCAGGAAAAGAGAATAATTTCTAAACAAAGGGCTGTTCTTGCTTTGCCCAGGTCCAATTTGAATTAAATCACCAGCCCACAACAACACAATTCAAATTTCAGTTACCATATATATTAACTGTGAGCAACTGACTATAGTACACAAATCTAGCATTGCAATACACAAATCAGTACGAAGATAACAGATGCACACCATGACCTGTGACCAGTCACATTCTTTTTTTCAAAACCTGTAGGCGACTGGGCACTCACACTTGCTGCCCCGCCAGGCACAGGCAGCAAAGCAGGTCATCATGCTGCCTCCTCCTCTACCAATAAACCCACATGATGTTTTACAAAAACTAGGAACTGAAAGCAGAAACTGGCCCAAAGGACCACAGTACAACAAAGAAATGAAAAATGGTAGCACTGGAAATGGAATTTGAATGGAATGTAGATGGAGTTACAGAAGAAAAAGCTGGCCGTGGAAATGCTGGCACAGCTACGTCAGCCCAGTTACAGAAATAGCCAGCCCGGCTGCAGTGGGCAAACTCAAAACAACAAAGTACTAACAGTAGGATAACAACTGTAAGAGATGCAGAAAAACGGACTATATAAACTACAGGTGAAAAAAGGAGACAACAAAATGGCCTGTAACAACTTTGAGTGAAAACAACTTTGCAAAGGTATTCCACAGAAAAAGTAGGATCAGGAACCGTTAAACAGGTATCCCCCATTTTGTGGAAGTTCACCATTATGCCAATTTGCTTTTACAAAAGACTGACATTAGTACTTGTTTCCCCTAACTGAAAGAATCCAAAGAGGATTTTTGCTTTTATGAAAAAAGGTGAAAAGCAAAAAATCACATTCAGCATTTGTTTTGCAGCCAGCAGGTAGGGAGAGGCAGTGAGTGCTCTGGGCAACAAGAGTGGTGTGAGCAAGTTCTGCCCCCAGGACCACACTCAGCATCTCAGCATCAAGCTGACAGTATCTCAGCATCACTGTGTCTGGAGTATCTGTGCTTTATCTAGATTTATTTTGTGCATCCTTTAGCAAGATGTGTCCTAAGGCATCTCAGGCAAAAACTAAGAGAGGTTCTTTTCTGGGGTCTGGAAATGCTCAAAAAATTCTGTATATTAGTTAATGGTAATTGCTTCTTCACTTCACATCATTTCAGCTTAGGAAAGGTTTCCTGGGAACACTCTGCTTCTGAATAGAAGAAGAAACCTAAAAACAGTATTATAGAATGTTGCATTGTGTTTATATTATTTGTTTCTATTGAGATTAGTATTTTCCATTCAACTTGTTCATTATAATAAACAAGCTATATTTTTGTGCTTAAAATTTATGTTAATAAATTATACAAGGTTCCCTCAGCAGCAGGTTATTTCTAGCATATTAGTACCACGTTACAAAAAGTTACAAGAAGGAGTATATTAACATTTACGAAGTAATGATCAAATGCACGTTTTCTTTTTTTAAGAAGAAGATCGTTTTTTATTGTGGTAAATAATATATAAAAATATTTACCAGCTTAACCATTTTCCCCTTACCCACTCCCCTCAACCCCTGGCAACGACTATTCTATCTTCTGTTTCTAAGAGTCTGACTACATTAAATGCCACATACAAGTGGAATCATGCAGTATTTTGTGTTTTTGTGGCTGGTTTATTTCACTTAGTATAACATCCTCATGGTTCATCTATGTTGTAGCATGTGACAAGATTTCCTTCTTTTTAAGGTTGAGTAATATTCCATTGTGTGTATATGCCACATTTTCTTTAATTATATTTTCTCTTAATAAAATACTCTGACAATCTAAACAGTGAATCAGTTGAGCTAATCACATATCTGCAAATGTAGGAAACACAAATACAGTCAAGAATGACTTTGTAACATTTTCTGAGTTACTAACACATACACTGTATCAAAAAGCAGAAATTCTTACCTAGGAAATAATACACAATGCAGAAATTTCTAGTTAGGAACAGTGATTCTACACAACTATGCTTAACTAGCAAGGGCAGAGATCTCCTGAAGCGCAAGAACTTGTACTGCTGTGGAAAAAGAAAAGCAGAATCAAATGACATTCAAAGAGAGGTTCTACTTTATTTTGAAGCAAACATATTACTTTAACAGTTCATATAAAAAGTATAATCACTGCATAAAAAGGCAAAGTTTATTCCAGAGGTAAAAATAATAAACTATTTCTGACATGAAAATACTTAATATTTACATTATGTAACATTTTGCTGAAATGAGAAAATTAACAGTATCAATCTATTCTTATACAAGGACTATCTATGGAGATGAAGTTAAGTACGAAAAACATAACAACAATAGCAGCTAACACGGTAAGCCAAAGGGTACTTCCCATGAACCAGATACTATTCTAAGCACTTCACATTTAAACCGTTAATCCATTTAAACCTTACAACAACCCTATGAATGAGGTTCTATTATTATCCCCTTCTTACAGATGGAAAAAAAAACAAGGCACAGATTAAGTAACTTAATCAATGTTCTCAGCTAGTAAAAGGAAAATTTGAGATTTTAATCCAAGCAGGCTGACCGCAGAGCCTACAATTTTAAGGATAGTGTATACTCCCTCTACACTAAAAACTTTTTAATTCTGTTTGCAGAAAAATAGGAGGTAGTGACAAAGACACCAGTCTAAGAATCAGGAAACCTGAGTTCTAGTGGTCCCTCTTTCTGCACAACACTTAGCAAATCGCATCTCCCTCTAGTTATCTGTGAGATAAGAAGGCTGAACCAGTTAAATAATTCCTTAGTGGGCACCTTCCAATTCTAACAATCCAAGAGAAAAAGAATCTAATAAGAAAAAATATGAAATGTTTCTTCCTGAAAAAAACTATTGCTTGTGAAACAAGGTTATCTGCCCAACTCCCCTCCCTGCCCCCAAAATACCAATGGAAAAAATATTCCTTAAATTATTAAAAAGAATCTAAAGGAGACCTAACAAACCAAACATGAACTTCTTAAATTCTGGTCTTCTTCTGTACTTGTATCAGGGCTCTTTAAGGAATTTCAGAAGCTAAAGAACAGCAAAGAATTACAGTATGCAGGTGGAAGTTTTATCTTCAGACCATGTCTGCAGTTTCCTACAAAAAGCAGCCCTTATGAATACTTGGTCACTAAAAGCATAGATTCAAGCAACCTGGTTTATTCAGATATTTTCAAAGTCCAAAATGTAGACCTGCACTATTCTGTGCAGCTTAAGTGCTCCACCTTCTTACCTCAACCAACCCCTAACCCCATTAAAAAGAATATAGTTCCTATACTATTCCTACCGCAGCTCTCCCATCAACCATTACTCACTAGGGCCCAGAGAGGCCAGGGAAGCAGGTAGACATTTCAGCAGATATATAGAGAAGAGCTAATATACCCTCTTCTGGCTCTCAGCTGAAGTGTTTTTCAACTTCTTGTTGGGCTTCTTTTGTGATGTGGCTATGAGCTACCCTTTAATGAATATTTACTATGTGCAGGCTCTATAAATTTTATCTCATTTCATACTTCCAAACAGTCTTGGGGACCTAGAGCTTGTCAAGCCCTGTCTTGGTGTTGATCTATTTTGTCTCCTGCTTCATGCTAATGTTCTGCTTTTCACTATCAGTCTGTCACTGAAATTTGATAAGGGCAATAGAACTGGTTTTAGTAGTGTAGGCAAGTTAAAAGAAATACAAATGGCAAAGTGATTAAAATTAGATTTTTTAAAAGATCTAATTTTTCATATCGTTACATGAAAGAAGTGGTTACTGAATAATATGCACAATATAAAACTACTTATGGAAATTGCACCCCACAATATACATAATGTTATTGGTACTATATATGTAAATGCATAGTAAAGGGTCTGGAAGAATTTACACTAAACTGGTCATGATGGTTATCTCTGAGACAAAGATTGAGACTGGCCAGAGAGGCCCAAGAGAACTTTCATTTTATGTATAGTGTTTAACTTAGGAAGTTGGCTGACAGGCAGCACCCAAAATGATGATGATGATGATATGAGCTGTTACTGCTTGGAGAAAAAAATTTTTTTTAAGTCTAACATACTCTGGTCAGTTTCAATGGTTAAAAAAAGTGAGTGGTTATAACCATCACATGACTTTATGAAGGTTCAAGAGAAGGAATGGGCCTGATTTCTCACACCAAGCTTGCAATTTCCCTACAACTGATCCTGCTTCCCACAGCAACTTAAAATGCTAAGAGAAGTTCAGACACTGAACACAAGGCCCTTAGGGCTAATGAAAGAAACCTAAGCTATGGTGTCCTTTTTCCCCCTCAGTCTTCTAGGAAGGCAAATCCACCCAGCTAGACAAAGATCGCTACAAATCAGAAGGATTAGAAAGCATGCTCCCAGGCACAGAGATCCACCATTTCAACTACTCTGGCCAAAATCCTCACCTCCCATACTCCACTGCACCTGTCCAGCAAAATCCCTGCTCCAACCATCCCCAGGCTGGAGAACAGCACCCAACTGGGTAGACCACATACCACTGTACACTCATGGTTACAAGAGATGCCCGCAAAATACACTCTGGCCAAAAATGGAATGGCCAAATTTAAAGTCAACATTCTGCCAAAGTTGAACCTGATGCCAAAGCTGATTATCACCATCAGAGAATAAACTTCAGGGATGTAAGAATAAATCTAAATGCTATTAAAAGGAATTATGAAGAAAATAACTAATCAGACTTTACAGATGTGACATTATATGGTAGAAAGAAGTAATCAGCACTGTCAATTATTGGACTGCTATGTTTACTCTATTGTACAGCTGTGATGTTGAATTTAAACAGATAGTCACTTTCAACTGAGGTCCATGGAGGAACAAGGTATTTTGGGGTTATCTCATTTTTCTCTAACATTCTCTTTTCTTCATTACCTATCTTCATAATTAGGTTTGGATCAAAGATATTTACATATTTCTGTACAGGACTTGGGGTTTTTCTCTTTGTGAAATTCTGAGGTGGCATAGCTGATCCTCTGCTTTTAATTCATCTTCACAAGGTATGAAGAATTTCTAAACAAAACTCGTCCTTCATATACACACAGGCTGCAGGAAGGTAAGAACCAGATTCTATTCCATGAGCACTATCTCTTTCTAGTAGTTGTATTTTTATCAGATTGTTCTCATGGATGCAACAGGCATGTGAAGATTTTAGCTAAACCACCACTCTCATACTCATACTCTCATGACACATCATTTGCTATCCCTGCCCCGTCACCAGACTCAGTCCTAGTGGAAAGGAGGTGGTCCTAAAACTTTTGCTCCAAAGCCCAGTCCTCAGCCTGCCAGAGAGTGGGAACAAAGCAAATAACAACACTGTCAGGAAGAGTGGGAACAGGGCTAAGGAGAAGTTGAAGCCACAGCAGAAATCTGACTGATCTTTCTGTCTTCTGCCAGAAGAGGTGGTTAAGAGTTCAAGACAGCACACATACCAAATTAGATTTTTAAAAAGCTAACTGAAAGACAGTTTAGCCAGTCCCACTCAAACCAGGCAAAACTGTTTTGTTTATTGATACACGTCATGGCTTGTTCTGAAAAGGATCTGAGACAGTAACTGACATTTTCTGCACTCACTTGCACATCCTCAAGCTCATGAGGTTCTTAGGCTCAGAGAGAAAATGGCAGCTGCTCAGAGGTACTGTGCATGAATATCATCATCACCTTCCCCAGCCCTGCTAGGTCACGGCAACTGCCACTGCCTAGCAGGGAGAGAAGGAGCAAAGCAGTATGTCAAGGGGTGCAGCAGGAAGGACAGCGACAGGTCTCAAACACATGTTCAAGTCTCATAAAGACAGAATCTTTCCTCTCCAAATGCCATTTTGAGGATCTCAGTTCTAAGTTTTGCTGATCACATCTTGAATTAATGAGGCCAGTTATATATACATTTACTAAGGCAATTTTAACTCTGCCAATTTCTGAGATAAGGTAATGCTCAAGTGTTATCTTACCTGTATGATGGGAAAGGGAAGATAGTTCATGTTGTTAATAAAATACAGGAGGCTATAGCTATAGCCCATGAATGCTCCAGCCAATAGGAAAAAAAGGTGATACTCATTTATGCAGGTGGGTGCAGCAGGGCTGTCTACACTGGAGGCAGAAAGGTAGGTCATTAATTCAATAGGGCCACAGACTACTCTTCTAAGCTCAATATTTACTGACAGAAAAATTGTGACTTAATCACTTAACAAATGCCCCAAATTCTAACAAAATAGTTCTACTTTAGATTAAGAGTGGACAAAAGATGAATGAAACCCTTTACCCCTGATACATGAGAATCTGACCTTTAGTGAACTCTCTAGCTCTGTTCCTCTGGAAATCTGGTAAAGCTAAGAATGTCCCCTGTTATAGTGGCCACATTGCTTATGAGTTGGTAAACTGCATCCGGACCAAGAGGAACCATAAATAAATGTTATATGCCTGACAGAGGTGCCATAACTTTGGGCTTCCCTCTGTGTTGTCTCTTATAGCTGAGCAATCCTTCACAGAGACCCTTTTGACTAAAGAAAATTCATCATTTCAGGGAAAAAGCTGCTTTATATAATTGTAACCAGCGGACAAAAGAAAATCAAGTATCCAGTAGTACTCATGAACATTGTTTAAAGCCAGTGGAAAATAGAGAATTTAGGGTTACTCCAGTAATGGTTTTTGATTTTTAAAGTGAGAATATCAATTTGAAATTTATATCAATGCCATGTGTTCAAGAACTGTGTCTCAAAATTATAAAATTACTCTACTAAACAAAGTAGCTTTACTTATTTCACAATTTTTTCATAATTCTTCCCATATTACCCTACCTTCAAACTCCAACCTAATACATCTCCTCCCAGAGGCCATGTGTGGATCCTCTCTGCCTTCTGAACTCCCACAGGTCTCATCTGCACATCTCACTCTCTTCCTACTACATCCTGTCTCTCATACATTCCTATTTCTCTCCTACTACATCCATTTGTGTCCATGTCTAAATTCTCCTACTGGTGTCAACTCTCGAAGAGCTTAGCCTATATATGAATCGCTCTCATAAATTCAATAGTATCTAACAGTGTGTTACATAGAATAAATGGTTTTAAGAACTTGAATTCAACAAACAAAACATCAAAAACATTGGTTATACAGTATATTAAAAAAGTACCTCTGTAGCAGCCCAGAAAGCAAAGAATGTCCATAAACTATTAACTTATACAAGTCCCCTTTGGCTTAGTAACTAACTATACAAGGTCCCTTAGAGAAAATGTATTTAATATTACCTCTCAGTACTAGTGCAGGAAACCACAAGGAAACTGTATCGACTCTTGGTTATCACTGCTGCACACCAAGCCGTCATCATTCCCATTGCAGCATGAATAAATGAGTGCATGAGCTGCTGAGGATGAATGACCTTCCCTATCAGGGCCAGTCTGGAGCAGGGAATGGAAGGCACAACTGCAAACGAAACACATGATTAGGGCTTTATAATCCCCAGCATATGACATTAGAAGACCTACATTATTCCCTCTCATCCTTGCACAAATACTCCAAAGGACAGGAAAAAACCCACAGTCAATGTAAAATACTAAAAAAAATTGAATACAAAGAGATGCACAAAAAAGGGAAAAAAAACAAAGATTCTGGAGAGATGAACCCTGAGCACAGCATGATCAACATTTTTCAATTCTTTTAATTAAAATGACATGATGGCTCAGATAGCACGTACCCTAGCCCTCTTCCAAGTGCCATAAAAGAATAAAAATAATGGCTTTAAAAAGACAGTGTTTCCCCTCCAACATGTTATCTTAACTGCAGAATTTGAAATTGCCAATATATACAGTCTATTTGTGAAAAATAAACCACAAACTAGGTAAATAGTGACAACAATGAATACAAAAATAAGTACAATAAAGTTTTCTGAAGTAAGCTGGGGGGAGGTGAGAGTGGTTGGGTAATAAGAGATGGTGACCTTTTAAAACAACTAGCTCGGGATTCCCTGACTTACCTATGCACTCATTCTTCTTTTAATATACTCCAAGTTAAGGGACTGTAGGGACTTAAAAAATTAAGTGTGAAGTAGAGGACTTAGATGCTTAACACTCTGGGGAAGTGGCAGCTTTACTCCCCAAGAAACGCCCACGAGGGCCTGCTAACTATGCAACTGACTTAACAGGACTCTGAACACACCAAACCTTCTCATATCACTAAGCCTTCTTATATCCTCTACGTTTTCTCTACAACATAATTTTCTTTCTTTGTCTACTTAATAGAATTCATCCTTAAGGCTTGGTCTAAGTGTCATCTCCTCCAGGAAGCTTCTCAGGCTGGATAAATGGTGCTCCTATATGCTCCTATACTATCCAGTGGATTGTACTAGAATATGTTTGATGCTTAGTGTCTCCCCATTAATGGCAATCATCTGGGGGAAAACTGGGACCATAACATTTATCTCTTATCCTCACACAATGCCTGGCACATAGTAAACGCATGAAGGATGCTGATGGACTGAGGCAAAGTGACCAGTCAGGCTTTAAGAACGGCTAGCTGCAGAGCCCCAGTCTGGGCTCTACATCCAGATGACCCAGGCCCGTAGGAGGGTGTGAAAGAACACATGCTATAAGCCAGGGAGTTCTGTACAGCTTCAACAGTAAACGAGATCCATCAGCCAGTAGTGAGGGATTAGGAAAGCGAAGGAAAAGGCTACACATTATAACAGCCACAATAGGATGTGAAATTGTATATCATATTTAACAAGGAACTACTGAAGAGTTAAAAAGTAGAATGATGCTATAGTCAAAACAGAAGTGTCCAAAAAAGTTTCTTCTTGTACCTTAAGGACAGACTTAAGGAATCTGAAAAGGCAGGAAGAATAAGGAGAGAAAATGAGAAAAATAAAAAGCTCTGGAATTTAGCAGGTGATTTTCCTGAAGCAAAACATAATATTTTTTAATTTTTTGGAAAAATCATAGAATTACAGATTTTTATTTGAAAAGGACCTTAGAAATCAACTTGTCCTGATCTCCTACCCTCTAAATGAGTTATTTTTATCATACATCTGCATCACAACTTCAACAACAGCTATGAACCATTAAAAGGTCTAAAATATTTGTTATTGTGGCAAAATATACATAATAAAGTTAACCACTGTAACCATTTTTAAGCGTACCGTTCTGCGGCATTAAGTACACTCACGTTGTGGTGCAACCATCACCACCGTCCATCTCCAGACTTTCCCACCTTCCCCCACTGAAACTCTGTACCCATTAAACCAATCCCCTGCTCCCTCCTCCCCCAGCCCCTGGCAACTAGCACTCTGCTTCCTGTCTCTATGAATTTGACAAGTACTCTAGATACCTCACATATATAAAGTAGAATCACACAATATTAGTCCTATAAGCTCTAAATATATTTTAAAACAGAGAACCTAGTATTCAAATGAATTTTAAGTTAATTCAAAGCATTCTATATGCATTTTTAAATGGCACAAAACACAGCCTCTGTTATACACACCCACATACAAAAGTCAGAGTCAGCCCTCAGCAAAATAAACTTATTTTTAAGACGATTAACATTGGGAAACTCACCTGTATAGAACTCCACATTGAAAATACTTATTATTACTATTACTACAGACAGCAGCAGGAGGTAAAAGATTACATATGAACTATAGAGATCATTGAAAGAATCTAAAACACAAGAGAGATGAATTAGTTAAGTTCATTCAGTCATATAGCAATGATCAGCATACTGCAATAGAAAAGGGGTGTGAACCACATTTGTAATTTTAAAAGTTTTCTTTAAGAATTTATTCATACACTGCTGATGGGTCTTACAGGACATCAACTTAAGAACTGCAGTGTGAGTTATTTGGACTGAGATCTGGGTCCTTTAACATTATACTAGAATTTCCTTTCGATGACCCAGATGTTAACATCAGACAAGATACTGCTATATGCAAAAATACTTCACCATGTGAAACAGAGAAGTACCACATTCAGTAATATAACAACAAAGTTTCTTTTTAAAATGTAAATATTTTTCATCTCTCTTCTAATACATGCAATTAACCCTTAATAGCTAAAAAAGTATTTTTGGAAATAGCATAATCCATAAGTCATCTAAATAAGCTGAATTTACAAAACATCATGACATCCCTGTGAAATACTAACCAGTCACATTTGCAGCAGTTCAACAATCAATATCACGTTTCAAAAATACGGGAAAATTTTAAAGTATGTATACATTATGCTTAAAACATGAACAAGAGAAAATGAAAAAGACCTATATCTGCTGAACAGACTGACTTAATAATGAAACCATTCTTAAAAGTGTAATTCACTGACCAAATCTGAAAAATATTTATTAAGCATCCATAATTAAACCCATGTATTATACTGAGCTAAAAAGAATGAAAGAGCTGATTCAGGTGCCTGGATATAAGCAAGGAAAGAGTACAATTTCTCTGAAAAGACTGTGAAGCAAAAGTTGAAGAGGACAAGTAAAATTTGATGAGAAAAATGGCATAAAAATTCAGATCCAATCTGGACAGAAAGCGTTAATGTGAGAGAACCTCTGGCAATAAAATAGCAAAAAGTGTTTATCTTCAGTGCCAATTCTGAACTACTAGTAACGGCTGCAGACTGCAGTACTGAATACTCTGAGGTTGAGGCTGGACAGCCAAGATCCCTGAGTGATGCAGATTCGGCAAGATGCTTACAGAAATACTTGCCATCCCCACACTGACTTTAGCCTTAATTTCATCTGACCTGGGGGACCCATCCAAGAAGTGACTGATATGTCTCAACAAAAAACTTAATATGACTTTAATTATTCAGCAGCAGTATCTCCAAAGGCTACAAAGTAAAGCTTATTTACTCCTTGAAAACTGGCATTTTCTTCTAAAAAATTAAATCAACACACTTCCCACTTTCCAAAGCAAGAGAAACTTATTGCTGTTGTTGAGAGGGAAATCAAAAGAATTTCAAAAGTATTTGGGTTTCTAAGCCTTAGGCAAGACTGTAAAGACTTTAAAACCTATTCTGGGAACATTTCTTTTCTTATTTTTTTAACTGTGTGTGGCACAGTGGAAAAACACAGGCTTTGAAGTCAGAGACAAATGTTCTAATCGTACTTAAGTTACTCACTAGCTGTGTGTGCTGCACAGCCTTATATAACCCAAGTCTCAGTTTCCTCGCTTATAAAGTAGGAATAATACTTCTTTATTACACAAGCTTGTAGGAAGGATAAGAGGTAATATTATTAAAGCGGGTAGCATGTGCCCAGCCCACAGTAGATAGCGATGAGTAGCTATTAATAATTAGCATAGTTATATTTTAATGAACTTAATTTTGTGTCCAAGATTTCTGAGAAACATTTAGCCTGCTCCAATCTATCCCTCCTCACCAATATTTGCACTTAACTGTTCCTTAGCCTTCAACTTTTTCCTCCTTTTCTCTCTTCTCAACTTTCTTATTAGCCACAATATAAAAATGAGGTATTCTTAATTTTAGAGTTTTTAAAAGAGATATGTGTCATATTTTCTACCCATAATTTTTAAATAGGTAAGAGTAACAGCTCTCTTTTTTAAAAAGACAGTCAGTCTCAAAGCTGTCAAAAAGACAAACAAAAACTAAGTTTTCATTTATGTGGTCTTCTAATGATCATTTTGTTCATATTATAATCTATAATCTCTGGCAGGTTTACTGATCTTGTTATATAATGAAAAGGTGGTTTATATTAGGAAGAAAATGCTTTAATAATTATCTCAAAATAAATGTTTTGTCATGTCAATCAATACAGACAGTAACTTAAAATAAATTATTTAAAACATACTGCAAGTTTTATGTTGAAAAATAGGTCCTATAAATTTGTTTTCCCCAAACTGAGTATCACTTACCAGCCAGCCACTGTATAGGATGAAGTAAATCAATGCTGCTGAAGATTATAAATACTGTGGTACAGACGGGCAGCAGCAGCACTGACCACACAATACTTGCAACTATCCTCCAGCCCAAAACCTATAATTAAACAATTAAACCTGTAATTAAATAATTTAAAAATCTCTCAACCATGAAGTTAGTTAAACTATTTCAGTTATGCAAATCCTCTTTTCATACAAGATGTTCATCAAAAATATTAACACCCAGAACATAGTCCATGCGGCTATATATAAACCCCAATGTTTACTACTATTGATAACATTACATACCACTACAGAATCTTGTATTATCAGTAAACTGATGTTTGCATTAGTCCAAAGTCAGGTGTTACTTTAAATATCGCATTGGGGAAGGGAGAATTGTCTTTAATTTTACAGCAACTTATACTCTCTTCTCTAGGTTTAACTGATAGATATGTCAATATCTAAAAGCTGTATACATTATCCGTATATTGTAATTGTGGTTAAAATTATTAGATAGGTACTCCTGTTGGACTACTGCATCACATTCATGCCCCAATGCCTGCCATACAAGAGACACAAGATTTACTGTTGAGGAAGTGAATACAAGAAGAGGTACTGAGGTTTTAAGCACGCAAATGACAACTAGATTTATGTTTTAGAAGGCTGAACGCCCTTGTTTGTAAAGTGGCTATGTTGAAGATGGAGGTGAGAGGACAGTACTCTTGGGAGGAGACAAGCAGGAGGTAGTCCGCTACAACTGCTACAGCCAACGATTTACAGTCAGTGTGTGAAGGAAAGCAACGGCAATGAGAAAAGAAAACGGGAAAAAACTGCGGCCACATCTCTTAAATACAATCTACAGGCCTCTGGTGATTGATAATATAGGTGCTACAGAATAGCTAAGACTTAGGAAAACAAAGTTTTTCACTTGGGATACACGGTAAATGGCAGTACCACTGGGATGCAAGCACTGTCCTAAAAGGGATCTTACTCCTTTTTCTCTTTTCCCTACACAGAATGGATGCAGAACTGGTGATTCCACTTCAAGAAGGAAGTATCTCATCTCAGCCCCAACAATGCACACGTTCCTCTAACTTAACAAAGAATACCTGTCCGGCTTACCTAGTTCCCAGAATCTGCTAAGGCCACGCCACATTTCCAATTCTGAACAGTCCTTCCTACTTCTTATCCCAAGTAATCAACAAATTATTTATTTTGCACTTGCTAGGTCACCCTTGCATAGAACTTTTCCCTATTCCCTGTCCTAATTCCCTTACAAGTCTTCCCTTCGACACTGACCAGCTTCCACTCGATACTGCTCTCTAAGCCCGTAACAAGTTTGCACTCAGGACATCCCGCACGCGAACACCCCGTAACCAGCTTTCCCTAGCACGCCCCTCCCACCATGTAACCAGCTACCACTCAGGAGGCCCCCCCACCACACGGTTATCAGACCCTCGGACTGCCCCCTCCCCACGCGCTCCCCACGCTGCACTAGCGCGCACGCGCGGCCAACGCTCGCCCGCTCAACCCGACCCCGCCGCGGCCGAGCACAGGCCACAGTGCGCGCAGTACTCACGCGCCACAGAATGTCCCGCGACCCGCCGTCGCACGGCCGACTAGCAGCCGGGGCCATGGTGATGGCGGCCCCTACTCTGAGGGGTGCAGGAGACAGTGAGGCGGCCCGCCACCGCAGTTCAAAGGGAGGAAGGCCCCTGGAGGACTCTATTGGGGCTGTCCCAAACGCTGCCTGAGCAAAGCGCGTCCCAAGCCCCAACCCGTTCCTTTTAGGTTTAGCCAGGATAGGCCTAACCGGACAGAACTGCCCCACCGATACGTCCCCCAAAGAGGGCTGGGACTCCAGGATCCGCCCTCTGGAGTCCGAAAGATCTTTCCGAAGAAGGGTCCGACGGGGAGCCAGAAACAGAGGGCGGCACTGCATGCTGGGAACTGTAGTCTCGAGGGCACTTTGGAAGCGAGGAGGAGCGTTGCCTACTGGGACTCCGAGTTCCAAAGCACAGCATGCTGGGAGTCCAAGTCTTCCCGGAGGTACCTCTGGAAGGCTGGGAATCGTAGTCTTTTACAAAGCCGCTACTGGTCGCAGTGATGATAGGTAGGAATCATGCAGTTGAATCAGGAAAAATGATTTGCCCATACCTTTCCCAATTTTACTTTATCGACCGCCTGAAAGTGAAAACAAAGGAATGTTGTGGCCCTCTCCACAAAGATACTAATTTTACTGAAATGGAAAAATCTCTTTTCTTCCTTACAGGTGCATTTATTTTAGAAATACCTGGTTTCTAGTTCCGGCTCTGCCACTTGCTAAGTGGAATATCTTTACCCTCTCTGGTCCTCCCATTTCTTGATCTATAAAAATAAAGATGGCATGCGGTGATGAGAGAATGTAATACAGTGCCATACAAATACCATAAATTTCCTACCAGTGATGATAAAGGCTTTTCACCAACCCAAGTCCCACTTACTGAAGTCTTCTCTGATTGCATTAGGCGTTAGTGAGATCTCTGGAGGCATACTGCTAACACCTTTTAATACCCATTTACAGTCAACCTTCAGTGCTCTAGAGAAATTCAGTGATTTACTCACTCTGGAGAATCTCATAATCCAGTGAGAGAAATTGAGATCATACATACTGCTCTTCAATATTTGCTAATAATGATTTCCTGAGTTGCTTTAAGATGATATCATATTCACTTCCAAAAACATGTTGATAGTGTCAATCATATCTGAAGCACTGCAGGACAAATGGAATACAAAGGTAGATCAAGTCTCTGCCGTGAAGAAACCTTCAACCTTCTATCTGGTGATGGAGAAAGATTATAAAGTATCATTCTAAATGAGTGTCCAGAAACACACCACAGGTTACTTGCAGTCAGATCAGTTTGTTTAGTTCCTTTGATAGAAACTACCAGTTGTCTACCTCAGTATCCTTTCTCCCTTTCTGGATAGAACCTCAATTTGTAACTGGGCAGGTGCCTACATTTCCCATCTCCCTTGCAGCTAGATGGAGCCAGCTAAATGTATCTAGGCCAATAAAATATAATCAAACTATTGCATGGTAGCTTCCTAGAAATACTGCTTACAAGAGAGCTAGTACATGTTCTTTGCCCCTCCTTATTTCCTTCCTCCATCCAGCTGCACTAACTCGGATGTATTGCCTCCGCCTCTACCATGATATTGGACCTCTTCCACCACAGGAAGAGGGTCACCCCTAGGAAAATCAAGTGCTGAGCTAAAAGGAGACTTGATTACTTGGAGCAACCATACCGATCTTGGGCTACCTACCTTTACCTCCTGACTGCATTTACAAAAGACAGATGGTTATTTATTGTTTAAGGCAGTTCTATTTTTATAGCATTTATCAATCTGAAGTCATATTAGATAACTTCTTATTTATTGTCTGTCTTCCATTAGTATACAAGCTGCACAAGGACAGGGACTTTGTCTATCTTGTTTATCATTGTTTCCAAAATGTCAATAATATTGGTAGTCAATAAATATTTGTCAAATGAACAAAACAATGATTGAATGAAAGTAACTGCATCAGATAGTGTCCATTCAGGACAACAAATTTGGTTATTTAAATCAAAGAGATTTAATGCAGGTAATTGATAACAAAAGTATTAGAAGGGCTGAAAAAGCACAAAGGAGAAAGAAAAGGGTTGTAGGAGATAAAAGGAGAATGAAGTTATTACCCAAATATCAGGAAGATGCTGCTCCCTCTGCAGTAGGGCCCCTGAGCCCACATGCAATGCTGAGCTGCTGAAGGTAACACCACTGCTGCTGTTAGAACCACACCATTGCTGTTGAGCAGGATCTAAGGAGCTAGTCCTCTGTAGCTGTTGAAAGCACTGTGAATAGCCACAATCATCTACGGTTGCTCTCTGAGCCTTAGATTTTCATCAGTAATAAAGCCATCTTGTAAGATACTGTGGGTAAAATTGTAGTATTTTCAGAATATCTCGCCTGGCTTTAGTACATCTTTATATCAATAGGCGTTCAGAGATAGAAAGAAGCATGGCTTTAGTGCATTTGCATCATTCCTCAGGAGTGAAAAGAAGTTTATCTCAATATCAATGGTTAATTACCTGGGCAATGGAGAGCTTATTTGTTCTGAGAGGTGAGGGGGAGGGCTGGTTTTGCTTCTGCTGGAGCAGGAGAGAAGGCCCTGAACTGCAGTTTGTAAGCAATAAACAGATTTTAAACTTTATTTCTCCCTTTAACTGATTTCAGTTTTAGAGGTATTTTGCCCCAGGATCTCCTCTCCCCAGACTTACATCTGGCACAGTTGACAGGATTCCTCTGAACCTGAAATCTGTTATAATGGGTGGGACCTTTGCGAGGGCCACCCCTAGAAATGATGGGGAGAAGTGACACTTGCATCGAGGGACATGTGTCTACACTTGTGTGGTCGTGGAGGCACCACCACCGCTGCTGACCACCCCAACCGCAGCCCATGTACCAAGCCTAAGGCTACTGCTTCTGCCACTGCTGCTGCTCCTGCTGCTGGCTGGAGCCTGCTCACAACTATGGAAAGGAGCAGAGGTCCGGGTCACCTTAATAGAGAAGCAACTGGCTGCTGTGTATCATGCCATGCTGGCAATGGAGCCCACTGCTGGAAGAGCTCCAACCAAGGTAATAACTACCTATCCCATCACGGGGTGGATGAGAGACTGGACCCAAAGGCCACGGAGTAGTGTGGCACACTTACGGTATATCATGTGACTGGCCATTTGCCTTTGGCATCCCCAGGGAATGATGAAGCAGACGCATTGGTCCAGGTGCACTGGCTACAAGGAAAGCCTGCTTCTGATGTGGCCCAATGGCTACATTGGTGTTTGTTGCATGCGGGGCAAAAGACAATGTGGGTTGTAGCCCATTGGTGGAGCTTGCCATTGACCTTTGAAGAAGTCAGCCAATCCCAGAAGGAGTGCCCTGTATATTGTGCAGATCAGCAAACCACCAAGAGGGGCCTAGAGCATCTCTTTACAGCCTATGGCCAGCCACAGGTGATTAAGAGCAATCAAAGCACCCACTATTGGACATGCATTGCAAAGATGGGTGCAGCAGTTAGGAATAAAATGGATGTGGCCTTGGACATTTCAACACATGAATCCATGATGGCTGGCTCTTCTAACACCTTGGGAAAAGGCCTGGAAGCTGGCCTCCTGTGTATTCCTGGAGTAACAGCACAGTGGCCTCCCCAAAATCATGGTTATTTGCTTCTACAGTCCTTGTGTCCTGGATGTGCCCCGTGGCTGCAGCTGCTGCATGATGGCTGAAATAGACGAGCTTTGGACTTAATCTGCATGGGACTTTGAACCTAGCTGAATTCTCTGGCCTGAGAATTATGACTATTGCTGTTGTCAAGAAAAAAATGCTTAAAGAGAGGCTTGGCTTTGTCTAATGTTCAGTAAAAGTTTTGTGAGTAATCCAGCATGATAGTTAGGAATGAGTAAACTAGTGTAGAAACATATTTTGTGCTTAGTGAGAGATTGTGCTGTAAAGTACATTTACTTAACCTACATAGCTGAATCCTCTGGCTTGAGGATTATCATGATTTTATTGCTGTTACTATTGTATGTCATTAGTTTGTCCAGAAGAGGGGAAATGAGTCAATTGTAAGGTGAAATTTCTGGAGGGGTGGCCTGTGGGTAAAACTGTAATATTTCCAGAATATCTCACCTGGCTTAGTACATCTGCATATAAATAAGCATTCAGAGGTAGAAAGAAGTATGGCTTTAGTGCATTTGCATCATTTCTCAGGGGTGGAGAGAAGTTTATCTCCATATCAGTGGAAAATTACCTGGGCAATGGAGGGCTTATCTGTAGCTGAGAGGTGAGGGGAAGGGCTGGTTGTGCTTCTGCTGGAGCAGGAAAGAGAGGAGGCCCTGGACTGCAGTTTCTAAGCAATAAGTGGATTTTAAACTTTATTTCTCCCTTTGACTGATTTCAGTTTTTAGAGGTATTTTGCCCCGGGATTTCTTCTTCCCAGACTTACAGATGCTGTATTAAATGAGATTTTGTTTGTAAATTGTCTGCCACATAGTATACTTTCAATGTATGATAAACATTGTGAGTAGAAAGATTACAGGCTTTGGAGCCAGGAACAAAGGTGTGAATACATGCTTTCCCACTATAGCTGTAGGATCTTGGGAGAGTCATTTTATCTTTCTAAGCTTATATAAAAGAAGATTAAAAAGCATCCTTATAGACAATGAAAGCATGCCAGAAAGACATGTGCAGTATATAGATGAAACAATAACCTAATGCTTCAAAATGGAATAAACTAAGTTAAGAAAATGATATCAAATATGAAAGCATTAGTGTAAGATAAATTCTAGCTGAAAATAAGCAGGCAAAGAGAGGCAACAAAGGGCCAGGTAGTTTATTTGAATGCAATTCCCTGGTGATGTTCCCCGGTCTGGCTAGTTACAGGCCAGAGAAGTCGTGCGTAACCAGATAGGCAGGGAGTTCTTATAAGCACAGGGAGGGGAGGGGGAAGTAGGCCGCACCAGGGGGGTATGTGGGGAATTTTTTATTGGCTCAGGGTCGGGTGATGGACAGCCAGAGGTCTCCTCCTTCCGGATGGAGTGGGTCTGCATCCGGGGTTTGTCAGCACGTCATGGGACTGGAATCCAGGAAGAGCTGTTCGTTCCTTCCCCATACGGCGCAGAGATACTCAGTGCTGTCTCTGCTCCACCTGCATTGTCCTTGCCCTTCTCCCTCCAGTGCCTCCAGCCTTACATTCCAGCCTTTTGGTCATAATGGGCGATGACTTGATCTGGCTATTTCTGGCTGACAAGGGGCATCATGGGGAGGGGGGGTTTCTTAGCATGTAGTTACATTGCTCTGACTGCAAATATCCTGCCTTGCTTTCTCCAGAGGCTCTCAC